ATTGCAGTGTTGGTTCTTCGTTTTGAAGAGACACCGCCCCGCGTCATTCCTTCCGGCCCCCTCCCTCGTCCTCCCTCTTCGCGTATCTGCCCTTGCTCTCCGCGTGTCTCCGTCGTCATCGTCCATCGTCATCGTCGCCATCACCATCATCATCAGCATCATCAGCATTCTCGCCGTCTCCATCGTCAATACCACCACCATCCTCATCAACATCATCAAAACACCCCCCTTGTTCCCCCGCGTCTCTGCTTCGCCACATCCCCCGCAAGTCTCGTGGCCTTGTGAGGTGCTCCACCGAAGGCCCCATCGGCAGTGTCCTTAGTGCGCCGCCCAGCCCATGTCGGCACGCCCCTCAGACGCTTCGTGTCCCCATGAGGAGCTCATCGGAGGTCCCGGCGGCAAGGTCCACATGCCGTCGCCCAGGCCACATTGATGACACCCTCAAACATTTCGTGCCCCTATAGGCAGCTCCACCAAAAAAAGGTCCCAGCGGCAGGTTTCCCAGGCCGCCGCCCAGCATATTCCGGCATACGTTTCACACGCTTCGTGGCCCCACGGGGAGCTACACCGACGGCCCCACAGGCAGGGCCCACAGGCCGCCGCCCAGCCCATTCCGTCATACGCTCACAAGCTTCGTGGCCCCATTGGGGAGCACCCCCGATGGCCCAAGCGACAGGGTCCACGTGCCGTCGCCCAGCCCATGTCGTCCACGAGTGGCGCCCAGCACGGCTCCAAGAGCGCCCCAAGAGGCGCCGAGTAAGTTGCACCCTCATGCAAATAGTTTTTGTCACTTGTGGGGGTCCTCTTGGGGCCCTCTTGGAGCATTCTTGGGGCCCTCTGGGAGCGTTCTTGGGGCCTTCCCGGGGCCCCAGTGGGCCCTCGGAGGGCCCCAAGAACGTTCCCCGAGGGCCCCAAGAGGGACCCCCCAAAGTGGTACAAAGAATTCGCGCGAACGTGCAATCTGTTGTAGGCCTTTCGGGGCCCTCTGGGAGCTCTCTTGGGGCCCCCATTGGTGGCGCCTTGGGGCTTTGGGATGGCTCCAAGAGGCTTCGGGATTGCCCCAGACCGCCACAAGACAGCTCCGAGACGGCCGTCGAGCACCACGGGTGAAAGCAAGTGAGGCTAGGGAACAGGGCCTCTGGTAAGCCGCCACTGCGCCCCCTGGACTACCCAGACAGCGAGGGGACCTGAAACGCCCTGGGGCTCCAGGGGCCCCAGATTAGTGAAGTGAAGGTTTTTGCCATGCAAGCACCCCGAAATTCTTCACTTCACTAAACCGGACCCAGGACGAACTCGCTACGCTCCAGTCCCGCGGGAGATCCAAGACTCCCGCCGCCGCCCGGGGACGTTGCTGCATTGCGGTGCTCTGGTCACTGTTAATGGCTTCCGCGGGCTGCAGCGGCTCACTTCCATGACTACCCCGACTCACGAATCCAGTGGTTGGTCTGGCTCTATGGGTTGGTTTCGTTGTGTCGGTTGATTTTATGCTTGGTTGGCGGTCGGTGGATTTCGCGTTGTTCATTGGTGTCGTGAAGTGATTTGTCGTTTGGTTGGTCAGTGCCGTTTTGTTGATTCGTGCCGTTTTGTTGGTTGGTGTCGTTTCGTTGGTTGGTGTCGTTTTGTTGCTTGGTGTCGTTTTGTTGCTTGGTGTCCTTTTGTTGGCCGGTGTCGATTTGTTGGTTTGTTGGTTGGTGTCGGTTTGTTGGTTGGTGTCGTTTTGTTGCTTGGCGTCGTCCTGGCGGCGTGGCCGATAATCGGCGGCCTGCAATGGCGCCAGGATTTGTTTCGGGCCAGCCTTGATCGCCCTCATCATTCTCATATTCGTCAGCGTCAGCACTCGTCGCCCCCATCCGCGCACACATGCGGCCCTGGTACGGCTCTCACGCGGCCCTGCGAAGGCCTTCACTGTGCTCCCCAAAGCTTTCTGAGGGGCCCCCCAGAGGCCCCAAGAGGGCACTGGAAATTGTCGCTTCCAACTCCGCCAGGCGGAGGTCAACAAGGGTCTCACTGGTGCACTTCCAGGAATCGTCGTTCGATCCTCTTGGGGCCCTCCTGGGGCCTTCTGGAGCCGTCTTGGAAGCTCCGAGCGGCTCCATGAAGGCGCCGGGCGATATCGCTTCCAATTCCGCCAGGTGGAGTTAGACCAGGGGCTCACTGAGGCCCCTTTTTGCGCCCTCCTCTGCCTTTGAAAAAGCCCCGATGGGGTTCTTCAGTGCCGTCTTAGGGCCCCTAAGAGGCCTCCAGTAGGGTATTGAAGTTATCGCTTCCAACTCCGCCACGCGGAGTTGAACCCAGGGCGGCTCTCTATGGCCCTTTCGGGGCCTTCTTAGAGCTTTTCTGAGGCCCTAAGTGGGCCCTGGGAGGTGTCATTTTCACGGGCGTTGAAAGTGACACCGCGGAGGGCCCTCTTGGGCCCTTCTTGGGGCCTCTCTTGGGTCCCTCTGGGAGCCCTCTTGGTGCCGCCCTGGGGCCTTCTCGGGGCCTTCTTGGAGCCTTTCTGGTGCTCTTTAAGTGGGCCCTGGGAGGTGTCACTTTCACGGGCGCTGAAAGTGACACATCGAAGGGCCCGCTTTCCCTCGTAGCGCTGCCCGTGGCCGGGGCATTGCGCAGCGCATCCCTCGTCGAACGTATTTTGTCGGACGCGTGGTCGAATTCCGCCAGTTCGGTCGAGATGGTGGTCAAGCGGTTCGGTTGCAATGTAGCCATGCGGATCTGAGCTTACCATTTCTTGCCATTTTTGCGGGGATCGCAGGAGCGTTTGTGTTGTGATCAACTGTGCTCGATATATCCAGCGGCAGCGTTTCATTCCCAATATATTATTTTGAAAAAAGTCAGCAGGGGCCAAATTGCTGATGTGAAGCAACATAGGTCTCGTATCCAGGGTCGAAGGGTTCGCATCAAAAAGGCTTCGGCGAGACCGTTCTTATCCACGACCCGGTCGTGATCGGTCTTTTACAGGAAGTTGTCAAACATCCGCGGGAAGACGAGCGGCCTTTCTCTGCTTCATTCCGCGACCTGGACCAGGCCATCCGCAAGTACGCAGCATGCTCGGCATCGCGGCGTCCTGATGCCTGGGCCGGCCGACGCGCTGCCGTGCTGAGCACGAGCGTTGGGCAAGGGTCCAGCGTCGTGCGTTCTCTGCAGCTTCTCAGTGCCGCGAGCGGCGGCTCATGCGCACAGACCCTCTCATGAGGTACGCGGGTGCCGGAACAGTGGCGGAAAACTGATGCACGCAGGTAGCATGTGTTGGGTTGCGAAGTAGCGGGGGGCGAACTCGGCGGATACACTTGCGCGCGTGCTTCCACAGCCATTTCCTGCTCCACCTCCCTCCCCGCCTCCTGAGGCCAGGGTCGCCCGGGCGACCTCTTGAGATCGTCTTCGGGGCGGGACGCATGGGGCGTGGGTTTTCTTCTTCAAGCTCCCAACAGGCGAGGGCCCTCTTGAGGCTCGAGCCCGTGGGCAGGTGGTATCTGCCACGCGGCCGGGACACGGAGAAGCACAATAGCTGAGGGTCGCGCTGGTGTGTTTCTTGTCGCCATGCTCGGGGTTTTCGGGGGCTCTTGAGCCCGCCGGCACCCCCGTCGCACTCGGTTGCCCTGCGGCTCCCGTAGGCTCGCGTCCTCTTGAGGCGGAGCCTCGTTCGGCATCGGCTCGCCTTGGACATGTAGTCTGGGGGTGCCGCGCGGCTGGGTGTCCTGATGCCTGGGCCGGCCGACGCGCAGCCGTGCTGAGCACTGGTGTTGGGCAAGGGTCCAGCGTCGTGCGTTCTTTGCAGCTTCTCAGTGCCGCGAGCGGCGGCCCATGCGCACAGACCCTCTCATGACGTACGTGGGTGCCGGAAGGATGGCGGAAAAATGCACGCAACTAGCTAGTGTAATGTTTCTTTTCTCCCTATCGTCCTCTACTTACGATCGGTCCCCACGGTAGGCTCGACTCATTGGTCATCAACCTCCGTTTACATTTTATTCTCGGCGGCCGAGGGCGACACCTTTGGCGCAACCAATCGGAAACAGTTTTATTCTCGGCCCCGGAGGACCCAACCTATGGCGCAACCAGTTGGATACGGTATTATAGTTGGCGGCCGAGGGCGAAACGTATGGCGCAACCGCTAGGAGACGGTGTCGTTCTCGGCGGCAGAGGGCGCAACCGATGGCGCAACCCATAGGAAAGTGTTTTATTATCGGCCGCCGAGGGCGCCACCTATGGCGCAACCACTAACAGACAGTATAGGGCGTAACCTATGGCGCAACGAATACGAGACGGTTTTGTTTTCGGCAGCAGAGAGCGCAACCTATGGCGCAACCAAAAAAACATATTTTCGAACCCTAAGGGCTCAACCTTTGGCGCAGCGGTAGGGTACGGTAGTTGTCGGCGGCCGAGGGCGCAACCTATGGCGCAACCGGTAGGAACAATTTTTATTCTCGGCGGTTGAGGGCGCAACTTATGGCGCAACCGATAGGAGACGGTTTTATTTTCGGCGGCCGAGGGCGCAACCTATGTGTGCCTTTGGTACGACCAGGACGCCGTCAACGCACTCACCGTGCTGGGGGCCCACGAGTACTACGAGGACGAAGCGTGGGCGTCCAAATGCGTGCGGGGCTACGCCCGATGTATGCTCGCCGTTTGGGCCGGCGGCGGGGCCCAAGCGGCGAGCTGTTTTCTGATTGCGAGGAGTACGCGCGGCACCCAGGCGATAACAACGTGTTGAAAACAATCGGCCATCAACAAGTGAAGTTGTTGCACATGTTTAAAACGCATGCGCGCGGCACCCAGGCGACAACCGCTTCTCGAAACCACGGGCCCTGTATCTTCGAGACTGTTGGAGTTCCTTCGCCTCAAGATGTTAAGTATCAGGAAAGTCTCAAGCGGGACGCCCAGCCTGTCCTACGGACACGTTTGGTGCGACAGGGAAGAGTGGTCTAGAAAGGACAGGGATGGAGGAGAAAATGTCGGGGCGGAGTTTCGGAAAGCCCCGACCATGGCCGGACCTCCCAGCCAAGGCCCGCCGGGACACGTGCCTTGCATCCTGCAGTTCGAGGGCTCCGCGGCCGCCGAGGCGTCTTTACGCTCCCCGCGCGCCAGCCGGCATCTGGGCAGAGCGCCATGGTGGAAGCCGCATCCTCCTCGCAAAGAGTCCACGTCGGTGTCCCGACCGTGCCGAGCATGCAGCACGGTGGCATGGCGATGGCGGCCCCGCTCGGAAGTGTTGGTCTGGAGGCCGCATGAGGCGTCGCGAGGTGCTGCCTGCGGCCTCTGGGCGACCCAGAGGCGTTCCCGTCAGCGCCCTCAGCGCGCGGTCCATTGCTGCTGGGCGTGTTCAGTGCGCCTGACTTTGCGATCGGCTTCCTTCCCTATTGTTGTTCATCCTACATGTGCCCGTGGGCGATGCGTGAATGGTGGAAACTGGAATCCGCAACCGAAACCAAGGCCTCGTAGACAAACTTCTTTTTGCAGGGGGGGGGGGGGGGGGGGAAAACGACAACCTTTCCAGCCCGCAAACATGATTTTCCTGACATTCGGTCTAGTGGCTGATCGTCGCAAAACCCGAATAGTTTTCCGGTTTCGCGTCCGAGCTGGTAACAGGGATATCCCAGGATACTTCCACGCCTAGGTTCCCGAACTCCCCGGTGCACCCCCTATCCGACATCGCCCCCGAACCTTCGCCTCGAATATGTCCTTACGACCGGCTGTCAAAACATCGACGGTTGTGGACTGCGGCGCTTGTTGATGCTATGACCGTTCCAGGGTTGTCAGATTTGGCACATGGTGACCAGGATGGGTTCTGGCCTGAAGGTGTTATTCTCACATCGGTGTTGGCGAACACCTCTTGTTCTCCTGGTCGTCCGACCGCTTCTTCGTTTCGTCTTCGTGCGTAGTGGTGTGCGGCACGACGACCTCCGTGGCAGGGCGTCGACGTGTCCGCCTTTTCCGATGAGCAGCCGGAGACCGAGTTCCTGCTGCCGCCCTACCTGCGGACGCCTTGGCAGTTCCGCGACGCTCTGGGAACGGCGAAACGCATTTGAAAAGCCCTACACTCGTTTTGTGAGGATGGGGCGGAATTGTAGGACGAGTGGGAGGAAGAGCACAGCAGCAGGAGGAGTAGCCGCAAGGAACTGGAGAAGCAGAAGTGATACAACGAATGGGGATGAAAACACTGACGAGGAGGACGAATAATAGGGAGAGCAGCAGCAGCAGGATGAGGAGGAGGTGGGAGGACGAGGAGGGCGCGGACGAGAAGGACGAGGAGGATATTGAGGAGGAAACGAAGGACGATGTGGAGAATGGAAGGCCAAATGGTAAGGGACAGAGACCAAAAAAATGGCTAGACCTCATAGCAGGACTGAGGCCGACCAACGAACGAAGGTGACGTCGCTGGGCAAGGTCAGCGTCCCTGCAGGGGAGGCAGGTGAGTTGTTCCCTCCCTTCTTTGAAGGCCAAAAGAGCAGGTTCCAATAACTTTGCTTGACATCTTCTGGCAACTTTGGTGTGTACGAAGGAGTCCCAGAGGAAACAGGGATGTCGTTCGTGACAGCGTCGGCCTGCCCCGTGTGGTTGGTTGTGGCAGGTCCTGAAGAGGATGGCCAACCACACGCCGAAACGCTGAGGGCGAAGTGGACCAGGGGTGCCCGAATAGTTGGGCATACTCAGTCCGAGACCAAAGGAGGATCCCAAGACCAAGATAATGCCGATTGTATTGCACTTGTGTTGACATGTACCTAGTTGCTTTAGGAATCCTTCCATTCAGAGTTGACATGATGTTGCACTTGTTGTGATATGACAGGCAACTTACGGGTTATCAGCCGAAGCTCTCCAGGAGCTCGTCTTCGGCGGCGCAGCCTTTTACCCATCAGTCAGAGAGATTCCGGCATGCCTGCGCGCGTTGCAGAGAGATTCCGGCATGCCTGCTGTGAAGTCGGCTCCGCCGTCTTGTGCTCCAGTCAGTGTTCTGGTCACGGGGGCGGGGGGTCAGACATTCAAGGAAAAAGGGGGCACGTGCGGCCAGTCCGCCAGGTGCCGACGGTGTCACGAAAGAGGGGGCAGTTGTCCCCACTCTTCTTTGAAGGCCAAGACAGCAGGTTCCAATAACTTTGCTTGACATATTCTGGCAACTTCGGTGTGTACGAAGGAGTCCCAGAGGAAACAGGGATGTCGTTCGTGACAGCGTCGGCCTGCCCCGTGTGGTTGGTTGTGGCAGGTCCTGAAGAGGATGGCCAACCACACGCCGAAACGCTGAGGGCGAAGTAGATCAGGGGTGCTCGAATAGTTGGGCATATTCAGTCCGAGACCAAAGGAGGATCCCAAGACCATGATAATGCCGATGATATTGCACTTGTGTTGACATGTAGTTGATGTAAGAACCCTTCCATTCAGAGTTGACATGATGTTGCACTTGTTGTGATATGAAAGGCAAATTGCGAGGTGCGCCTGTAGCACTCATGCCCTTTTTTACAATGGCCAGTGAGTGCGGTATCGCTCTGGTCAGCGCCACGCGTGCTGTAGACAAAAAGGAAGGGAAGGGGAAATGAGGGAAGGGGATGAGCATGGGTATGCACAGGTCGCAGCCGTTTGACATGAACATTCGTCACAGGTTGCGTTCGTCACAGGTTGCAGCCGTTCGACATGATGCCATTGTGTTGACCTGAATCGGCTGGTTCGTGTGTAGCAATGTATGTGTGTGTGTGGGACCTGGTGTGTGGCACTCTGCTAACCCATGCGGCCGCTGGAAATTGCGGCACACAAATCCAGGTCTTGAAAAGACACGTAGCAACCTTTGGTGCGAGCATCGTCTGCATCGTCTGCGGAAGAACAGCCTTAGCCTTGACAGTTCCACGCCAGGAGGCCACGCAGGTTTTCTTCGCAAGGCCAGCGCTCTCCTCCGTCCGGAGCCAGTCGTGCCAGCATTGTTCGGACTAGTTGAGGACAATTGACATCGCAGGGTTGCTCAGTATGCTGCTAATATGCCCCCTGCCATTCTGGCATCTCTGTCCCCCGCCGATCTCCAGCAGACCTTGACAAACGTTGTCACGGCCTGTAGTTGCCTGCGCTGTCCAAGGCACCCTCTCTGCAGCGTCCCCCATGGCCGCGGCATCTATCGAGGCCAATGTACGTCCAGCATCCGCGACAATCTCCAAGAGGAACGGCTTGCGGCCCCCCCCCACCCAGCGCGGTTGCGGCAGTCGTTGCTTGGATGTCGCCTTGTCCAGGCGACAATTCAGCTCGAGCACGGCGTCCGTCAGCTTCCATAATTTTTCCCTTTCGGGTGTCGTTCGACGGCAGCGTCAAGTTACAAGCCTGAAGCACATCCCTACCCTTGTGATTGGCATCCTCTTACCTCGGTCCCGATCTTGAGGATCCAGTCAGTTTCTGAGGGCACATCCTTAACATTGCAATTACCTTGAGCTTTCCAATATTCGGGAGATGGACCAGCTCGACGCTGGTGATCGATTGCTCGCCCTACGATGCTCCAAGCGTGCTTCGCAGGCCAGCGAGCAAACAACACAATCTTGCGGCGGCAGCTGTGTGCAGCTAGGCTTCCCTCCCTCTCCATTCCACTCCCTTCTCCCAACCCGTCTCTCCTATACGCTGCCTTCTCCCCTCCCCTTCCCCTTCGCCGTCGTCGTCATCCTCCATCCCTCCCTCCCTCCCTCCTCCTCTCTTGTCTCCTGCTCCACCTGCTGCGCATCCTTGGCAGCGCGTTTGCGACGCGTTTGCCATGCAAGAGGGGATGAGATGACGATGAGCAGCAGCAGGAGCAAGCACAGGAGGAGGACCGAGCGTGGCAGAAGGAGGTGGAGCAGCAGGAGGAGCCGGGTCATTTCGGTGGCATGCCGGGGTTCAAGAGGAAGGGCGGAGGAGGAGGAGCCACCGCGGGGCGCCAGAGGCCGATTTGTTCCCTCTCCGCTCCGTCGGCCGAGGCATTGCAGGGTTCTGGGCATCGAGACGGCGCTTGCGCAGGGATCGGCGGACGTTGCTACGGAGGCCCCGATGGCTTGGTCGAAGGGATGGTCCAGAGAGGGAGAGGCGGAGAAGGAGGAACCGATGCGGGACGATGAACGTGGAAAGAGTTGACGGATGATGAGGGGTAGTATCCGAGGCAGAAGGAGGAGGAGTCCAGGGGGAAGGAGGAGGAACCGAGTGGGAAAGATGATCCGAGGTGGAACTGAAGGGTCGAGTCGATGGACGGCCCAGAGAGGGGGGAAGGATGAAAGAGACAACCGAGGCGAGAGGGCGATCTTTGAAACGATCTGCACTGCATCGCTCTTCTGTTTGGAACTGTTGAGCGCAGGAGAGTCCCAAGCAAGAGCACGTGTATGAACATCCACTGCGCTGTACTCGTGTAGCCGATGGAGTACACTAAGCTTTATAATGGCATGTTCAGGACATGTTTAGACTGGCTGTCGGTAGCGCGGGTTTTTAGTGAGTCAATTGTGTTTCCCCACTGCGGCTGAAGATGAATAAAGTTATAGTGGTGTTTGACGATGGTGGTGACGCGGGGAAGCTGGATGCATACATGCGAGCCAGGCGAAGGCGTCAAACTTCCAGGTTTTCGCATTTTGAAAGTTTGAAGTTTTAGACGTTCCAGAAGTTTGAAAGTCTGATCCAGAACCAGGTACAAAGCTTGAGCACTTGACAGCTTTAAAACTTGAAGTTTTAGAAATGTGAATGCTCTTTCAAGCAAGACTTTTAAATTTCAAACTCGCGACCTTTCAAAACTGCAAATGTTGAAAACATGTTCAAACTCTGAAGAAGCACCGCCCGAAATTTGAAGGGGCGCGGCACTTTCTCCACACTACAGGGGGTGCGTAGGGGGTGGTCCCCCTCCGTCGTCTCTATCCGTCCCAAGGTCGCCACACCACAGGTGGCGCGTAGGGGTTGGTCCCTCACAGCGGTCTCTATCCGTCCCAGGGTCGCGGGGTGTGGAAGGCGTGGCATTGTCTCCACACCACAGGGTTTGCGCAGGGGGTGGTCCCTCACCGCGGCGTCTATCCGTCCCAGGGTCGCGGGGCGTGGCAAGCGTGGCACTTTCTCCACACCACAAGGGGTGCGCAGGGGGTGGTCCCTCACCACGGTCTCTATCCGTCCCAGGGTCGCGGGGCGTGGCAAGCGTGGCACTTTCTCCACACCACAAGGGGGGCGTAGGGGGTGGTCACCCTCCGTCGTCTCTATCCGTCCCAGGGTCGCGGGGCGTGGCGGGCGCGGCACTTTCTCCACACCACAGGTGGTGCGTAGCGTGTGGTCCTTCACCGCGGTCTCTTTCCGTCCCAGGGTCGCGGGGTGTGGCAGGCGTGGCATGTTCTCTACACCACATGGGGTGCGTAGGGGGTGGTCCCTGTCCGTCGTCTCTATCCGTCCCATGTCGCGGGATGCGGCAGGCGTGGCACTGTCTAATTCTTGCGCGCGCGAAATTCATCATTTTCACCAGCACCATCGTCATCATCACTGCCAGCACCATCATGGCCACCGTCATTGCCAAGGCTTGACATGCGTCACCAACGGTACCGGCGGGGCAACGGCCACCAGCATCATTTTCGCATGTCTCACTTCAGCCATCATCACGCCAGACATATTATAAGTGTGTGGGGCTCCTCGGTAGCGTAATTCGGGGTCTGATATGATGTCGGTGGCGCAGGTTTTAATCAGGACGTCGTTGTTGCTTCATGTGGGGACTCGTGTGATGGTGGTGGCACAAGTCGTTGTGGTATTGTTCGGTGTTCCATTTAATGTCGGAGAAACTAGTTTGCATAAGGACATCGTTATGCTTTTAACTGGGGTCATGTTTGATGTTTGTGGCACAGGTTGTCATAAGGATGTCGTTATGCTGTTATGTGGTTTTCATGTGATGTCGGCGGAACTAGTTTTCGCAAGGATGCCGTTCTGTCTGCATTCTGGATTCAATTTGATGTCGATGGAATTGGTGTGGGTGAGAACGTCGTTCTGGTTTACTCATGGTTTTAATATGATGTCGGTGAAATTGGCTTTGATAAAGACGCCGTCTGGATTCATTCGTGGTTTACTGTTCGGTGGCACAGGGTTTTCATAAGGATTTCGTGCTCGTTTTACTCGGGGGGGATTCCCTGGGCAGGCATGCTGAAGTAGGGGGGAGGAGAGGACGCTTTTCTGGCATTCTGGCCGAAACGAGGGAGGAGGAGGAGTAGGAAAAGGCAGGAGTGACAGGAGCCGATGTTCATACGTAATTGGTCCAGTATGTTTTGCAGCAGGAACCGCTTGCGTTTCTTTGCTTTGTTGAGATTTGTGTCCCAAAAACCAGGAGTGGGCAGAGCAGGAGGAGGGAACATGAGGAGCGAGGCGCACGACCACATCGAGGTGGAGGAGGAGGAGGAGGAGGAGCGAGGCGCGACGAGGGTTGATGACGGAACATGATAGCGTGGAGCATGGAGGGGGAGGGTCGGAGGAACGAGGAGAGAGAGAGAGAGAGAGAGAGAGAGCGAGAGAAACAACAACAAAAAAAAAAATAGTCTCAGGTGAGGCTAGCTTTCAAAAGGAGGTCGTTATGGTTTTAGTCTGGGTTTTATGTGATGTCTGGGGACATGGTTTTCACAAGGACGTCGGGCTGGTGTTATTCGGGGGGGGGGGCTCAGGGCAGGCATGCTGACGTAGAGGGGAAGGACGGGTGCGAGGATGAGGGGATGCAGGGGATGAAGATGGGGATGGGGTTCAGGATGCGTGTGATGACAAGGGGCCAGTGGGGCGGGGAGGAGCGAGAGGGCCTTGGAGTCATTTTGATTCAGCAAGGTCGCCGTGCTGGTTGAAGTCGGAAGGTGGTGTAGCCGTGCAGGTAAGGATCGTAAGGATGCAGTTGATGGTCAGGAGAATGTCGCATGGGATGCAGACAATAATAACTAGACGAGGGGTTTCGAATGAGAAGGAGGAGGACTGGCAGCTTCGCTGTAGCAGCACGAGCAGACAGCAGGAGACAGGCAGAGGCCTACCTTCGGATACTTCCTCCCGAAGACCCAGTAGAACCCACCCCAACTGTCAGTCCCCCCCGATATATCGTCTCGTTATCCGTCTTTTACCTTCTCTCTCTTTCTATCTCTCCTCCTCCTCCTCCTTCCGCATCCCGCTCCTCATCATCATCCTCCCTCCTCGTTCTCTCTTTCTTGAGGTACGCGCCCCCGTATCTTCACCCGAGTCCGCAAGCACATCCCCGTCCTCAACACCTGCATCTCCTTCATCATCGCACGTCTCCTTCACCTCTGCGTCAGCATGTCTGCCGCGGGAAAGCCGCCCCCGAATGTAACCAGACCGACGTCCTCATGTAAAGCAGTGCCCCCGAACTCTCTCCCTCTCGCTCTCCCTGTCTCTCCCCAACTCCTGCTGCCCCTTTGCATTTGCGAGCATTCCGTCCCAGAGCTTTCCCCGAATTAAACCAGCTCGACGTCCTTATGGAAATCCCCCCACGCCTCTTCCGTTTTTGTCCCTTTCCTCCCCTCTTCACACCTCCGATCTTGTTGATTGCGTCGGTTGTTCTCGGTTGTTGCCGGCTCCTATCGGTCCTTCTGGCGACCGATGCGAGTTGACGCACACGGCAGCTGTTCCAACATGCCACGCGACGTTCAGCAGCGGAGTTTGCTTGTTCCTGCTCCCTGCGTTGCCATGTGAAGTGTAGCGTTTACTTACTCGTTTTTCCTCTCGCTCCCTTGCACTGCCACGTGGCGAGCGGAACTGAACTGTGACTTCTCGCGCCCCTGTGCCATGCTACTGCAGGCGATGACGTGCGCAGCCATTGCCGCGCCATATCACCAAGTCGAACGTGTTGCAACATGACGTCGCTCCTCATTCAAGCAGTGTTTGTTCTGTCCGCCCCACTGCGCTGCCACGTGACGGATGGCGTCCACCCGTATGCGTTCGGATTCGGCGTTGCCACGTGGTGAGTTGTATATGCGAGTTAGTCGCACAGTAGTTGTTGATTATCCTCTTGTGCCCGGCTGTTTCGGCTCAAGTCCCCCGCGGGCACTTCGATGTCTGCACCCCCGTACATGTGTCAAGTGAAAGTTTCTGCACGCGCGTGCAATAAGTGGTGCATCGTTTTACCATGTGCACTCTCATGTTGAGGCCTAGAACGCGAGTGGAACAGTTGCCTTTCAGCATTTCGCATTCGAAGTTGAGTTGGCCGTGGCATCTTAATGATGTTCGCGCAGCGCCGCGCGGCGACACCAACATCTTTGCTTGAATTGGAATTGGCCAACTCTTTTTTTTCAGTGTTGTCTCGGGCGGGGCTTTCCCGATGCCGCGCCAGGGCGTGTCTTTCTGTTGTTTTGGGCCATGCCCTTTTCTTTCCAATTTCGGCCTGGGCAGCCCGTCTCGGGCGCCCCACTGAAAACGTGTTTTGTGTTGTTTGCGCTCCAGGCTTTTGTGCTTTTTTTGGCCTGCGGCTCGCGGTGGGCGTCCGCGGCCGCTGCGCCGCATCGTCCTTTTTTCGGTCGGGGACGCGCGATCGTGTTCTTCTTGTTCCGCCGAGGGCCGCCTGCCCCCCGTGGGCCATGCCGGCGCTTCCGTTTTATTCGCTTTCGGGCACAGGGCTTTTATTCCGAATGAGGTCGAAATCGGTGTCGACCTCATTCGGGCCCCCCGTCAGGGGCCCTCGCGCTGCCAGGGGGTGGTCTTAACGAGGTCGAGGTCGATTTCGGTCTCGTTGAGCCCCCCTTCCGGGACCCTCGGGCTCCCAGAAGGGGGTTCTTAATGAAGTCGAAATCGATGTCCACCTCGTTGAGACTCCCCTCTAGTGCCCTCGCGCGGCCAGAGGGGGGTCTCAATGAGGTCGAAGCCGATTTCGGCCTCATTGAGACCCCTCTCTGGGGCCCTCGCGAGGCCAGAGGGGGGTCTCGATGAGGCCGAGCCCGATTTCGGCCTCGTCGCTCAGACCCCCTTCTGGGGCTGGGACCCTCGCCCTGTCAGAGGAGTTCCTAAACGAGCTCAGCGTCGACTTCGACGTCTTAAAGATCCCCCTCTCCTGC